ATGGTGATGACAGTCGATCAAAACAATCTTTATTAGATGGTGTTTTTGTTTTGATTCCTATGTTCTGACTGTACTATTATTATATTGCAAATTAATGTCAGTAGACTTGTATTAGCATTACAATTAAGTCCTTCTGCAGCACAGAACCTATAACTTGCATAAGTCAGTTAAAAGCATTTTGGCCCACCCATCTCAATGACAATGCTTCGAGTGATTTCATTATCTCATGCTTTGGACAGTATCTCTGATTTCTTTGTGAACTTTTTGGAGAAGGTCAAAAGAGAGCATTGGGGAGGACTAACTATTGGTTTCCTCTTGAAATCCATCACTACTCGTTTGTGGATCATAACCATTTAGATTAATATAGGTTTATTTTTTTCTTTGCATCTTCTGAAATAATCTCTGTATGAGGTATTTTTGAGTTTTGAGAAGCATTTGATCTTCAGGCTTTTTCTCTTTCTGGGCAATGATGTACAATATATTATGTTCGAATTAGTTGAGACAAGGGTTCTGATGTACAATAGTTTTACGCGACTCTGAATGAATTTTGAGAAAATAGCGTCATTTTTCCTTATCCAAGGAGTAATGTATTGGTGCTTAGACCATTGCTTATCTTTTTTTGATACTCGTCGATTTTTCTGTTTTATTCTTTTTTCCTGCCGAAATAGATTTATTTTGGTGGTTCGATCATTTAATATTAGAAAGCATCTCTTGTGACACCCTTTGTCGTTGTTTAATGGTTGTTCAGGGTGCTGAACTTGCTGCACAGGAAGGAAAGAGTGCAGCAGCTTTGGCAGCTTGTAGGACATTGGCTGAAGAGCTGACCGAGTTGCGGTTTCCAGCTCCTAGGATTCTTGCTTTTAAGGTACCAATCTTCTTTTCTTCTAGAAGCTTCCATCAAATCTTGCCTCAATCAATAACTAATATATACTTCTGAGTGTTTTGTAACAGGAGGGGAGCTCTCAAGCTCGATATTTTGTCTCTCGTTTGATACCAGCACATAAAGATCCTCCTTATGAACAGGTATGTATGTAATGTGATAGCAAGTTTGTTGTACTCTCTGCTTTATATGTTGCACTTGAAAGATGGAAAATATCGTGATAATGATAATGATATTTGTGTGGGAGTGCAGGAGGCAAGATTCCCTCAGCTACGAACATTGAATGCAGAACAGAGGACAAAGCTGAAAAGTAGTTTTATTCACTTTGATGATCCTAGTTTTTGCGAGTGGATGCGCACTTTGAAAGTATCGCCCCCAGAACCAAGATGAGAGAGATGCTTCATTAGACTTGTTTTTTTGTTGTAGATGTTTTCTCCGTGCACGACGTTTGTTACGTTTTTGCATCATATCATTCTCATACTTGTTTTTCGTTGTACTTGGATAATTCATATTTTTATTTTTGTTTTTACGACATTATACACAATTCTTAAATGATCGAAATTGCGGTAATAAAAGAGGTTGGATACATTCATGAATGATCCGGTTCTATACGCTTTTAAGTGGTCCAAATTTCATTAGATTTGACTTTTGATGGTAAAAAAATACTCACCGTTATCTTACGCCAAGACGACTTCCTATACATAAGCAAGTGAAATAGTTATAAAGGAAAGGAACACCATTCAATTCTGGGAATTACGGAAACAAACCGGTATGCAGAGGATTTTGGTAATGTTCGGATTCTGGACAAGGTATGATAGCATTGTTTACATTTTTATAGGACAATGTTGTCTTCTTTTTCGGATAAATAGAATGATGTTGTTAGTTGTACCCAAATTCATATACATAACTTTTGGACAAACTACCAGTTTCTTCTACTCAACAAGTATGGCCAAACTCAAGTGATGGATAGGGTATTCTATGTACAAACCAAAATAAATAAACTCAATTAGAAATAAATTTATTGATAAGTAAGTTTTAACAAAGAATTGTTAAGAAGGTTGAATTCATTTATATGAACTCTTTCCGACTTATTATTATCAAACTCAACTTCTCCTTGTTTATTGTGTGTACGAGTCAAAGGCATCAATTTCATAAACACTATCAACATAAGTGCTCTTTTTATTTGTTTAAATTCATTATCTCATAGAATCTTATAAATTGATAAATAAATCAAATAATTTAGTTTTCATAAAATAAAAAGCTATCATACTCGGTCCGACTCAATAAAAAATAGGTTTTGCTAAAAAATAATTGGATCGAACCATCGGACTTCAATTAGGCCCGACTCAATTGCCTGTACTCCTAAGTGCAGGTAACCTCAGAACAAGAAACAAAAAACCCATTTGCTTCATATTGCATCTGACACATGATGCATCTGAAAAAATCAGTAATTATTTATGGAGGTCAGTTTCCCAAGTTTTTCAGTACCAAGAATAGCTAAAATCTTCATGTATTCCAGTTACTATTAGTGTTGAATCAGGTAAGCCAAAACAAATGTCTTGTTTCCTTATCCTCTAACTGAGCCATTAATTCTGGTGCCACAAATAACATTTACATCATTATATAATTTTGAGGCCTGACAAAATGTTCCTATGCTTCATTTTTTTCCTTTCGAATTTGAGTAACTTTGCACCGTCTAAAGCAATAGCAAGGGCCAAAAAGCAGCAACTTGGTAAGGACCAAAAAACGGATAGGCCAGAAGAGAACATTTGGAGGTGTAAATGTAATAAAGGTGGAAGAAACTGCTTAGTGAAATAGACTTAAAAGTTAGTGTTTAGTAGAGGTAAAAGATGCGATTGCATCCATTTCTTGCTGCAAAAGAAGAGCATCAACAAATGTGTCAAGATTATCTCCCTGCATTAAACCATCTATTGAGTGGGTTGTGATTCCAACACGGTGATCAGTAACACGGCCTTGAGGAAAATTATAAGTACGTATGCGTTCTGATCTGTCTCCGCTGCCAATCTGTTCAAAACAAGAAAAGCTGTCATAATTAGGACAAATAATGCCAGTCGGTCCTTTTTTTTTCTAAACTCAAAGCCGTTACCTGCTCTGTTCTAAGTCTTGAACGACTTGCATCAGCCCTAGCCCTTTCAATCTCGTACAACTTTGCACACAACAGTTTAAGAGCTTTGGCCTTGTTCTGGTGAAACAATAAACACAAGAGGAAATAGTACTGAGTCATTATCAAGGAGACAAAAACCAAATCTACCGGCATTTAAGATTTTTTTATTTTTTGTTTTGGTATATCGTGTCTCGAAGGAAGCACATAAAATGCAATAGAGTCCAATTTTGTAATAGTCCAAAATCTAAGAAAAATGCAAAGCAATTGTAGTGAACGACCTTTCATATTCAATGCAGAAACTAAAACACAAGAATCTTGAACTCATGTTAGAACTGAGGAATTAGGTGCAAAATAGAACACAGACTGTATAATTATTTACTACCAATTTGCAACCATTTAATCAAACAGATATAACATGTGAGCTTTAATCACTAAATCTTGAATTCGATCCAACCAGTTGAGAAAGAAGCTTAATAGGAAAGAATCCATAAAACTGGTTCAGAAACTAGATATTACACTGAAGAAAAAATTATTAGACTGGAAAGCGATAACAAGAAATAGTTTGAAGATGAGATTCTATACTCTCCAACAGTGTCAGTTGATTGCAAGAATTGGTACCATACACAATGATATATAAACCAAATTGTTATTGACATATTAGAAAACCAAATAAAACCATTCTTCTCTAAGCAAACAACTTTGAGTTAAATCAGTAAACAGATTCATGAAAATCCATGCACAACGATATATAAACAAGTAATACAGATATAATGCCACTAGTTATTATGCACCAAACAGCAAACGCAACATACAAATAGACATCAATTGAAATAGAAGATGAAAAAACTATTTTAAGTCAATTTCCTGGATTAAGGGAAATTTTAGCAATTTCAAAAGCAGAATTTTTTTTACCATATGTTGAGAGCGTTCATCCTGTATGTTAACTGTCAGCCCTGTTGGTACATGAGTAACCCTCACAGCGCTGTTAGTCGTATTTGCATGCTGACCACCTGAACCACCAGATCTATATGTATCAATTTTCAGATCTTCGTTCTTTAAATGAACATCTACCTGCAAAAACTTCCGATAAGTAATCCAACAACCTTGAATCCGATTGCCACAAATTAGTTACAATGCAGTTGCAGAACACGAGATCAGATGAATTGGACCTGATCAGCCTGAGGAAGAATAACAACGGACACAGCACTGGTGTGGACTCGTCCAGATTTCTCCGTCACTGGAACTCGCTACAGAAGAAATGTATATGCAAAATATGTGAAAACACAGAGAATAAATAAAATCCAAATGCAAATAGATTAGGAAATGAACAAAACCTGCACTCTGTGAACCCCACTCTCAAATTTGAGTTTTCCATAAACATCTGCACCAGAGATTGCAGCACTAGCTTCCTACGATTTAACGAACAATGTTCAAAGCCCAAGCATGATCGGATATTTTTGTATTGAAAAGGGAAAATTGAGAAGATAGTTTGTAGCCCACCTTGTACCCTTTAAGGTCTGACTCCGCCACATCCAAAACTTCAAATTTCCAACCTTTCTTCTGCGAGTATTTCTCATACCTGAATCAATTATTTTAATCACAAAGTCATCAGAATACTAAAAGCAAAGCAGCACTTGATAGAACAAACAAACAAACAATAGTGCCCTACATCTTGAATACGTCCATCGCAAACAAAGAAGCTTCTTCTCCTCCAGTTCCTTAAACAAAACAAACAATTTCTATTTAAAAGAAACACAAACATAAATAAAGATGAATACGACTGACGGGCAATTATTACCTGCTCTGACTTCCAAGATACAGTCACGTTCATCGGCATCATCCTTAGGAAGCAAGGACTTAAGCAACGAATGACGAATGCGCTTCTCTTCCTCGGATGCTTGCCCTAATTCTTCAGAAGCCATTTGGTGCATGTCTTTATCGTCTTGGCTTTCAGTAAGCAGCAACTTTAGCCCCTCAATCTCCTGCCAAAACATCAGGAGTAAGATTCATACCTACTACGGAATCTTTATGGTTTATATCAAATTGAATTACCTTGTGCTTCTTCCTCATCTCAGTCACCAACTCAACCGTATGCCGAAGCTTCTTAAGCTCTTTGTTGGCAGTGGAATACTGTTCCGGCGAGGCATCCGGCTGTCTTTCGTACAAACCAACAAAAAGTTTGACACAGGGGAATTTCATCGAACAGTTAAAGGAAGTGAATATAAGAAGGAATAATGCGGTAATTACCTGGTTGACAATAGCCTGAAGAAAAGAATTTCGGTTTTCTATTGCGGCTAATTTCTGGTCCATGATGTTGATTAGATCGAGAGAAAGTTCCGGCTGAGATTGTGCAGTTTCGGCGGAGCTGGAGAAGTAACGGCGGAGGAGTGTTGTTTCTTTACTGAATGGTAACTGGCTGTGGTTGTAATTCGGAGGTCGGCAAACATTTATCCGGCGACTGATAGTATGATTCCGGCATGCCGCAACCATCACACAACGATTCAACCGCCAAAACCGTCCGCCGCCGTTTCCCATTCCGCCGGTCCCCCGCCTCCGCCCAATTTCACATTTTCTTATTTAACTAGGTAGTCAATAAATATTTACGGTAAATGACATTTTGCCCCCTAACCTATAGTTATTTTGCACATTACCCCGAATGAATATGTTTCTAAATTTTTACCATGTACTCGTTAAAAGTTTGCACAGTGCCATAATGTTTGCCAAATTTGTTCAATTTTCGTTGGAATCTATTTATATTAATACAAAAAAGAAAAAAGAAAAAAGAAAAAAAAAAAAAAAAAAAAAAAAACCTAACAATTGAACTATAATAAATAATAATTAAAAATTCAAATTGAAAGAAAAAATTGAGGGACGCCTTGAACTTTTTTTTTTTAGAGGAAGAGACATTTATTAGGCATAAAAAGTCGAAGCAGGAGGAAGGGTAGAACCTTCATTACACCCTAAATCAAAGCTAGAGGCTAATCCATGAGTTAATTGGTTTCGGATCGACGTTGACTCGAACAGTCAAAAAATGTCA